GCTATAATTTAAAGAATTCAGAGTACTGAGGGAGATTATGGTTACGATGTCTTTGCTATTTACCCTCACCTCATAAGTGATAGAGTTATATGTGAGATTCTGTATAACAGGAGTTTGAAATAGAAAGTCTAAGGAACTGGGAATGTAGATCAGTGGTAGAGTTCTTAACATGCATAAGGCCCAGGGTTCAGTTGCTAGCACTGCAAAAAAGAAAAGGTCCAAGAAAGTACCATGCTGTATTATTACTGTTATCAATTCCATTGAGAGAGAAAATTTACAAAATTTATGTGAAACACTAATCTTCAACAAACAGGAGAAATGCCTAACGAACACTCCTTAGAGCACTTTGGAACAGGTGACCCCAGTGGTACACATGGTCTCATGTGATGCATAACAAAAAGGAGCCTTGGTAGTCTGTTTTATCACAAAGAAAATCATTATATGATGTATGAAAATCCACAGGTTTGTAAGTGCTTTCCATTTTCCAGACATGACACTGTAAAGCTCATGTAGCCTGATTCCTACTTTTTCTCACCATAAAATATGTATATTACCATTGTTTCTTCTGTATAACAAACAACCCCAAACCTCAGTGGCTTACAATAACAGAAGCACATTATCGTCACTAGGATAATTGTTGCTTATGTATGTTCAGCTGCAGCTTAATTCAATCTGGCCCCCATGTTTCTCACTCCCAGATACAATCTGAAAAGCTCCCAAGTAAGGCAAGCTTATCTTGGCTGAAAGGACAAGAGAACTGAGAGATGGATGCTTCATCCAGCTTCTGCACAGATCACCATCATTCCACTGACAAAAAAAATAGGCACACCACCAAGACCAGCATCCCTGGAGCAGGGAAGTACACTCCTCCAATTGCCAGCTAGCATCTCATAAGGCTCACTAGGAAAGGCCGAAATGGATCAGAAGGGATGGCAGTGTCTACTTATCTCTCCAAACCTTTGTATTTCAAATATGTGAAGTTACATAAAAGTTCATTGTAGTCTAATGCAGCCTCCACTAATGTTAGAATTACTAGCACTGTTGAGTAGTTCCCTTTAATGTTACTTATTTCCAGAATCCAGGTAGGTTTCAAGTCCTTATATATCATTAAAACCCATCACTTTTCCATTCTTACCACAAATCTTTGTAAAGCTTTTAACAGTTACAGATGTAGTTTCTCAAAAGCTATGTTTTTTGCCTTTTCACATTCATGTTTTAAAATGTCACATTTATAATCATACTTATTTCCCACTATAACTATATTAAAACCTTCTCAAGAACTTCTTGGGCATCTATGAGATTCTTTTCTTTGTCTTTCCCTCTATAATTAATGTGACGAAATTCTCTTTTGTCAGAAATTTAGAAAGAATTAAAGGGTAAAAATGAAATGTAAAAGCATTCTATATTCAAATCCATGTGTTAATATACAAGAATATATGAACATCCATAACATACACATCTTAACACATATAATAATACTAGCTTTTGGTCTCGCTAAGTAACTCTGACTGGCCTGGGACTTCTATGTAGACCAGACTGACCTTGAATTCACAGAGATTCCCCCTGCCTCTGCCTCTTGAGTGCTAGGATTAAAGGTGCACCATCACACCCAAGCTACATAATACTAACTTTTATAAAATTAAACACCTGGCCTTTTGAGACTACATTTTCTACTTACCTATATGCTGTTGAGCATATACGTTTGCTGATTATTAAATATTTTAGGGATATGAATTTAGCATTTAGCATATAATATTAATATATAGTATATGATGTGTGATACATTGTTTCAAATCTCAATGATAAAACAAGCCTAGTTCCTGAACTGTGGTTTCAGCACCCTTGAAGTTCCCCACCTACAGTAACCACGATCTTCAAGTCTGGGTATGGTCATTAGCTTCTTTTCTTTTTCCTGAGTGCTTTTATGCTCTGTAAACAATATATTATTGAATTTTGCTTGGTTTTGAGGTTTGTAAGAATGGTATGCTCTATGCATTCTTTTAAATAGTAGAATGAAAAATTAAAAATTGATAATTTTTTACTGTGTTTTACTTTAACCAAAAAAACCCTTGGACATTAATCTACATGTATTTACACTTTGGGGTAGGGGTAATTTCTGGATGTAAAATTTCTGAATTAAAGGATAAGAACACTTCTAAAGTTTGTTTGATTTTATTTTTCAAAAGTATCACAAAATGCATCCAAGAAGATTTTTATAAGCTAAATATTCAGAATTATCTGAAAGATCATTCTGAATTATGGCTAGCTTTCTACTTTAATTGCCTAAAAAAAAGATGAATTTAATAATTGTTAAACTAAATCCCTTGGTGTCTCTGTCTTCCCTGAAGTCTGTCCTGTTCTTGGTACACTCTATTACTAACCATTTGTCAGTCTAGAAACCTTAAAGATGGGTCTTTCTCCTTCCCACCTCCACTTCACCCTCCCCATACTCAGGCTTCTTGTGAAAATGTCCCACTAGCTGTATCTGTACAGTGTCCTTTGGATGCATCCTTCCCTTCTGTTTTTATAAGCACTATTCTGATTTTAATCCTGCTGCTCTATGTGAGGTGGACCACTGCACAGCCTCCTCTCTAGTCTCCTGCCTGTCTTCGGTCTCTGTTTTTCTATTGGTTCCTTCAATCCATTACTATTTTCTAAATACAGACTTCACTTTAAAACTCAAACCAAAACATTAAATATCATGCTAATAACCACATGATAAAAATCCACAGTCCTCAGTTGTTATATAGAAAACCCTGATACAATTTAATCTACCTTTCCAGTTTATTTCTTTGTGATCTGCCCTTTCTACCTCCCACCCCAGAACTTTGTGTTTCGTACTTGAGCCAACCTAGGCTAACATGTTCCTTATGTGTTTTCCTTGTGTGTGTTGCTCTTTCAACCTAAAATGCCTCTCCCTTCTCTTTTATTGAGATTTTACTCATGCTTTAATGTTCCATAGAAATTTATATCCTCTGTGGAGTTTCATATCAATGTAAGTTATCTTAGATATATATAGATGAGCCAGGCATGGTTGCTTCTCTTGAAATATATTGAATGTCAATGCATGCAAAAATATATTTATATATAATAATGGGTAGAGAAAGGTGACCACAAGCTATTTTAAATACTTCAGTTATTACAAATGAAGACCATATGTGTGATATATAAAACCATTTTTTATATGTATGTGTGTTTCTATATACATTTATTTAAAGAGTAGCAGGCAAAGACAGAAACCGGCTGACAGAAAAGATACATAAACACTTACCTTGGTGTATCTTAAGCCTTCTAAAGTTCTTTTTGGAACCAGGATAGATGAATAATTTTTAATTAATAATGATACTTACTAGCTTCATTTTTTTCCATAAAGATGTTTTTACTTAGGTGAAATAAGTTTCCACTTTGAGGCTTAACCATATTTGGTCCAGTTATAAATGGCCAGCCAGGGGGCTGGAGAGATGGCTCAGTGGTTAAGAGCGCTGGCAGCTCTTGCAGAGGACCTGGGATTCCCAGCACCCACATGGTGGCTAACAACCATCTGTAACTCCAGTTCCAGGGGATCCAATGTCCTCTTCTGACCTCCGCAGGAATCACATGACATGGGTGCACTTACATACATGCAGGCAATACACTCATAAACATAAAATAAAAATAGTACATAAAATATTTAAAAAAAAATAAATGGCTAGCCAGTTGCTTCTCCACTGAGTTTCCAGTATTGCCTGGCTCATTGGGAAGGGCCTTGTTCCTTTGCCAAATCTGTACAGTCCGAGTCTCAGGTGATGAACAGGTCCTTCAGCAGTAAACTGAAAATGTTGAACTAGCTAATGGTTAAACAGGTAAGGAAATGAACTCTAAGGTCCTTCCCATCTTGTACATTTTAATATAAGTTTTGTTCATGACACAGAAAAATCCAGAAAAGGAAGTGTGGGTTTGTCCTATGCTTTGCCACCCTTACTAGTATCAAACAGACAAATGCCCTTTCCTTACCTCTGATAGTATGTGTTGAGTGGGAATTTACAGCACTGCCTGCGTGGCCTTGGTATGCCCTCTTCTCTCAACAGTCCTCTGCTTACTTTTCAGTGGGATGATGATAGTGAGATTAGATGCCTTTTGAGATTCTTTGCAGCATCAACATATTATAGTTTTTGTTTGGTATGTTTGAAGTACCCAGACTTTTTTTTAACCCTGTTTGAACTGACATGCTTCAAAGCAGATAGCATAGACTACTCACAAAAAATTCTTTTCTTCAGAAAATAGTGTGCATGGAGCAAGGTGGACCATCAGGTTATGCAAACCATTCTGTGGGACTGAGAAGAGCTTCCTCCTCTTACTTTAATTACTTTAATATTTTTCTCTTATGATTGATAGTTTTGTATCTTGAAAAGTATTTACTGGTAATAATGTAAATGCAGATATTTTTAGTATACCTTATAGGGAATTAAACTGTTGATATTGGCTTAAAATCAATCTGCTATCACTGGACAGTATTTCAAAATATATGAACTCTAATAACCATTATAGACTTCCTTTATTAAGGAAGAGATTCAGAAATCTTTCTAAAGAAGAAAACCCCATTTTAATTTTCAAGAGATAAACTAATCTTTGATATATGATATTTGAGTTAAAAGCTGAGAGTTGCTTTTGGAAAACATAATTTTTACTGCTTAAGCAAATTTCTTTTCTAATAATTAGATTTTTTTTTCATTTTGATGGGTAGTCATAAATATTAACCGCCAGCAGTACAGGAATAATTTGTATTCAGATTATCAGATATCACGCTGTGAACACATAAAAATAATTTACATTTACTTAGAACCTTTATCCTTAAGTGCCCTACACATATTTCTTTATACTCTGATTGCAAGCTATATATAGGACTTTCCCACCTAAAATATGACAGCAACCAGAATTAACAGATAAAGGATACAACTTCACAATAAATAGAAGGAAATGTAGTATTTTCACTTTGTTCCTATGTGCTCTCATGCCAATAGGATTGGAGAAGCCATGTTGATCAAATGCACCAGCACAAAAGTGGAATTGAGTCGGCTCTAAAGGAGACAAAGGTACGTGAAGTATTTCAGAGGAATCAACAGGACCTCCTCATCTGTGCTGCACCCATTGAGGGGGAGCATGAGAGGAAAAAGATGCAATCCTCACCCTTCAGGAGTTTATTAACTAAATATCTCACATTACATTTCCACAGCCTAATACTTTAATTAATGAAAGCTAACTCATATAAAAGCTATTTATGATCAGGCATGAGGGGTGCACACCTATAATCCATTCACATTTTGGATACACTACATGGATATAATATTCTACACATCATCTAATAGATGTTTTAGAAACATTTCAGCACCTTCTCCTGAATTCCAAGGGTGAGAGAACTCCAGCATGATAATGCCTAGAACTTGTAAGCTCTCCCAGGCCGGCTGCCATGACAGAAAAATGCAGTCTTTTGGAGAATGCTACAAAGAAGCTGTTCAAGTGCAAAGTTATAGTTACCAGGCTAGATAGAGCTCAGGGTTTAGGAATCCACTTCTAACTGTAATATTCCAGTTATCTTTGAATTATGATTTAATAAAGTCACAAGCTCCCTACCTACTTTGACTTTGAAATATATATTTATATAAAACTAATCACAATGGCATAAAATTTAGATACCTAAGTTTACAGAAGGGCAAAAGCTGACTAACCCTATCAGGTTCTACTCTTCTGAAGACAGGGTTGCCTGAGTAACCCAGGCTGGGCTGGAGAATGCACTTGAGTTCTCTTGCTTGAGCCTCTTCAATGTTTGCATTACAGTACTGTACCACCATATCGGACTTTAAAAAAAAAAAAATTGCAGTGTAACTAAAGTATTTCTCATCATAAACTTTGTTTACTATCAAAATTTCAAACTGTCTTCTTTTGTACATGTGGAGTGGATTGTATATTTGTGGAGGGGGACTAAAGAATATTTAACTCATTTTTTACCAGTTTTGAAAAGTATATTTGTTCTTTTATCTACTAAAATTCCATGGGATTTCTAGGCTTTTTTGGACAAGCGCCATAATGAAATTAATAGGACTCTGGAAAAGATTGGCAGCCGAGAAAAATACATCAACAATCAGCTTGAGCACTTAGTTCAAGAATACCGTGCAGCCCGAGCCCAACTGAGTGAGGTAATTCAAAAGTGATTTATAGAGATTTATTCCAATTCATAACCCTTATCCCTAAACTTGTCAGAGCACTGTTTATTTAAGAACTGTGAAATGACAGGGTGGGATTTATACCCTCGATTTTCTGATATTAAAAATGATTAATAAAAATACTTATAAGTAAAAAGTTCAGCAGAAGTGGGGTTGGGAGAGGCCAATGAGGGGTGAAAATGATCAAAATAATGTATGAAATCATCAGCGAATAATAAAATTTTTAAGGAATACTTGCAGAAAGAAAGTGAAAATAAATTTGAGATAACTTGTATTTTGAGAATTTTTCAATTACTAAATAGAAAGTAATTTTCACTTTATATTATATTTTTGTTGAATTCATCATTTCCTCATATACACATGTATTCGTGAACATTTTTTTACCTTAAAATGCTCTAAAATCTCTAATTAAAGCCATCGTGTATCTGCCATTAATATTGAGTAATTGATTGTTAGATTAGTTTCCGAGAACTAATCTAGTTGGCTGCACTATTATACACTTTATTAATCCTTATTAATTGCTGAGCTTGATGCTTTACTTTGATGGATTTTTTTTTCTTTTTAGAACTAATTTTCTCTTCTTCGCATGCAAATTAGATTGACCAAGAGTCACTCTCCTAAAGCATTTAGAAATGGCAGAGGACAGTTTTTATTGTGTACTGTGCCCATGCTAGTTCCACAGCTGGTATGTAAAGGTTACAGTAGTTCATCATTCTATAGTGCTTTAGTTAAATACATGCTGCCTATTAATAGGGGCATGAAATAGCTACAGTTAAATGTCAGTTTCATAAATGTGTTCACAAACCAGGGTGTTCATAAAATGCTATGCAGAAATTGCAAACAAAAAGAAGTCATATTTAAGTAATCTGCTTCTGTTTGGGATTTGTCATTAAACAGTATTTTCTCCCTCAGGCAAGGGAGCGCTACCAAGAGAGGAACAGTGGAGTAACAGAAAGGACCAGACTCCTGTCTGAGGTACACACCAGCACTCTGCAGTGCTGTTCACCTGTCAGTGGGAACCCAGCCTGGCAGATCCTCTGGATGACTGAATATCACTTTTCAATAATGTGCCCCCCCACCACCTGCAGCTTCAAATCATCATTTTGGGAGAAATTCCTTAATGACTGACAATTATCTTTTTCTGTTTCCTTAAGATGCCTAAAGTTTCTGTGTTAAATTCAACATAAAACCTGCCCGTATTATTAACATGTTGATAGCCTTCCTTAATGTCTACTTTAAAGTCATAATTACTAGAAGAACAGTAGGAAAAGCACTATCCAAGGACTATGTAGCCAATTTTAACAATATTCAAGACGTAAAGTCTATATTAGTGATTATTGTTAGTTATTTCTAATCAGGTATGCCCTGTCTATAACTAAGATAACTTATAACCTTTTTACAATGAGAGCTTCTAAAATATCTGTGGTATTATTGCATTTATTTTCATAACCTTACAAGAGAAGTAAGACCTGATATACATTTCTCATTTTTCACAGAAGAGCTGATGAGGTTGAAAAAAATAAAAAGACTTTCAACAAGGTCAGAAGCCAATTTGGGACTAAAATCCAAGACTATCCTTAGTTATAAGCCAGTGTAATTTTCACAAACTTTACTGTTTTGACAGTAAAGAATTTAGCTTCTTTTATATATATTACTTCAGAAATAAGTATTTTAAAATATTTAAACATAACAGAAATATTGAGACTCTAGTCCTGTGGTGCTTCTAGGCAAATAAAACATTCCTTAGAAGTAAAGTGCTTATTAATGTTGGGTAAATTAGCACTTGAAGGGTGTCCAGGGAGCCATTTAGTCCTTTTGGAGTAGGTAGTTATCCCCAGTTGTAATGTTTCAGGTGCCTGAAAGAAATTAATTTGCTTTACTTGGACGAGCACTTTATTCCCTGGGAAGATTTTTACTCACCAGCATGATAAAAATAAAGCTTACTAAGTTACAGTAATTATGGCTTAGTTCTAGATTATGTAGAAAAAACTTCAGTTTTTTAAAGATTATATTTTCTGCCTATATTATTCTGTGTGCTTATTATTTTGCCAGTAGAGGCTGTAGTAGTGTAACCTTGACATCAAGCACATGTGTATCTAGAACATTATGGCAGCACTGTTCAGAGTTCCTGGTTTGGAAAAAGCCGTAGAACATTTTTTATATAGCCAAATGATGTACACATTTTCTTACTGTTCTAGAGAAGAAATAGTGACATAGTTTCCTAATAAGTATAATATTAAGAAAGATCCTTAAAAAACCTTTAGAGAGCCAAATTAGGGTTTTAGTATTATTTTATTAACTAATTACTGTTAGAGAATGGCACAGTAAATGCTAACACTAATTGCACAGTTTGAAGACTTAATGCTGAATGCAACCTGATTTTTATTCTATGTCACAGGACTATAAAGCTAATGTCAAGTAATGTGGTGGAATTTTATAAGCATTTCTCAGAAAATAAAAAGCTTTGTGTGTTTGCATACATTGTCTTATTATTTTGAAATATGTCCAAAATGTTCTTAATCTTTTATTTCCTTATATGGATGTCTGGTAGCTAAATTGATTTTTCTCAATACATCATTCAAAAGATTTCAAAGGTTGATTAAAATTCAGCACTCATGAAAACTTTTTTTTCCAATAAAAGGTAACAGAAGAATTAGAAAAGGTAAAGCAAGAAATGGAAGAAAAGGTCAACAGCATGACTGATGGGAGTAAGTACATGTTCATCTAGGAGGGAAAATGAACCAGGGAAACTGAGCGCTTTCAGAAGCCTCTGTGTTAATCAACAGGGAGTCTGCTTTTAAATGAACTATGGGTGGGCCAATGCTATGGTTCAGCAGGTAGAGGTGCTTGCCACTGAAGCATGAGAACTGGAGTTCGATCCCTGGATCTCATAGTGGGTGGAGAGAACAGACTTCTGAAAGTTATCCTCTGACTTCCATATACACACCATGGCACAGGTGCCCACACACATTCAAATGTACACACACACACAAATAATAAACAAGTAGGCAAATTGTATGTTGTTTCAAGAGAGATACCTGGTACAAAAATTATGTCTGATCATCAGAATACTGTATTCACTGTAAATCAGCTGAGAAAAGAGGTTTTTTTTTTTAAACAATACTTGATATTTTAAAAATCCAAACTAATAATTCAAAGATACAGTAGGAAATATTTAAGTATGCACTTTGTTCTGACAATTTTTAAAATATATTATTCTGTTTTCATCATTCGTGTACAAAAGGACCTTAAGACTCTCCAAAATGACTCCAGGGCAGTGATATGATGACCTTGGGGCTTTTCCCTCCTTCCCAGAAGATCTAACTGGGCAAGGATCAAATGGAGAAGAATTAATCACCCAGTAATTACCCTCCATCATGAGCTGTTTGCTCTGGCATGCTGGTGGTCATTGCCTCAGCATTTTTCTGTCAGTGCTGTCTGGAGTTCTGATGGGTTTGTGTACAGAACTGGTGGTGTTGCTTTTTTGCAGCATGTTTTCAGTGGGCTCCTTATTTGTATTTCAAAGGTATCCTTCTTCCCTTTCATCATTCTGTTCCCTATTCTTACAAATACACTAGGTCATAATACTATGTTGAACAAATCCTTAAATACCTATATAGCACTTTTTACCCTAGAAAAGTTAGAAAATTCAGTCTCAGTACATCAAATATTGCATCATTTCTCATCCTAAGCATCTCAGGTATTTAAAATACCACTGCAAAACTGTGAACGCCAGGGAGTTGTTGGCTGTTTTTAACCCTATTGCTGGCTTAAGACAGAGTGAGGAAAATGTCTTACAATTCTCTAGCAAACTGATATACCAAATGAACACTTTTATTCCTTACTATTTTCATTCTGCAGCTCCTTTGGTGAAGATAAAACAGAGCTTAACCAAACTGAAGCAAGAGATTGTTCAGATGGACATTCAAATTGGTGTTGTGGAACACACACTACTCCAGTCAAAGCTAAAGGAGAAGTCCAACATGACTAGAGACATGCATGCAACCGTCACTCCAGAATCAGCAATAGGCTTTTATTAAAACTTATGGGTTTTTGCACTCTGGTTGTTTGGTTTTTATATCGAATTACTTTCTATATTACATGGATTTCCAAACACAGTTATACCTCTTAAAGCATGTTCAGTAGGCATTTTTGCACATGTATTGTCTCATGTTGATTAAGACAGTTAAAGCCTTTAAAGTGAATTTAATTCTTAATAAAGTCATTAAAAATCCTCACGTTCAAAGACGCTTTGACTCATTATTACCCATGGCAGGCTCCTTCTTGTTGGCTCATTTTTTTTTGGAATTCCTGTGGAGGCTGATGCATATAACCCAGGCATCCTGGGAAGAATGCTGCTGTCACCCACCAGACTGTTGGCACAGGATTGGGACTTTTTCCGATCTGCAGAGCTGGTCCCCTTCTGCAGTGACCACTAGTGTTTCTATGTCATGGGAGCTCAGAATAGGGGCTCAAAATCTTCAAAGAATCCCACACTCCCCTTGCCTTGGCTGTGCAGTTACACGAAATTACCACCTTCTTAAGTATAAGAAAATTCAGTATCCATGTTGATACTTGAAATGTTTTGCTTTTCATGAGTTAAGTCACTATATCATTGATTAGTTCAGCCATGTTTGACCAGCTCCTAGAAAGGAAAAAGTATGCGTGTATCTCCATCCCACCCTTTCTGTAGTCTCTGCCATGCTCCAGGGCTGCGTTGAGAAGGAACCACAGTAAGTCTCATGATCACCCTTTAGTACTGGTGATCTTAAGTATCTTACTCAGCAATTTTCTAGACTAGAAATTCTAAATTGGCAAAATAAGTGATATTAAAGAACAGCTTTGGGAGCTGGGGATACAGCTCAGTTAACAAAGTGCTTGCACGAAGCCCTGGATTTGATCCCTTCCCTATATAAACAATATGGTAGTACACACCTGTAATTGAAGTGCTCAGGAGGTGGAGGCAGGTTGGTCAGAAGTTCAAGGTCATGGACCTTGTAGCAGGCCCAGTGAGTAAAGGCACTTGCTGCCTGATAACCTTTTATCCCTCGTCCCACATGGTGGAAGGAGAGAACCAGCTTCTGAAAGTTATCCTCTGACTTCAACACACATGCCCTGCCACATGTGCACCAACTCATACATACAATAAACAAATAAATGAAATTTAAAATTTTTGAACAAAAAAATGTTCAAGGTCATCCTTTACTAGATGAGTTCTAAGCCATCCAGGGATTCATGAAATCTTGAATCATGAAATCTTGAAATCATGAAATCTTGAAAGAAGCAAGAATAGCCTTAAACCTGGAAAAAACTAGTAAGATGATTACAAAGAAATAGCCTTTGTTCTTTCTAAAAAGTGAAAAGCATTGGTGGTAAATTTTGATTAAAATTTGCTTTATGTTTAGAACAACAAAATAATAAAATCTCATTTTAATCTTAATTTTATCCCTAAATTGTTTTTTAACATTTACTTTTTAGACATATACCCCAACACACACACACACACACACACACACACACACACACACACACACACACCTTTTTTGCTTTCATTAAGACTCTAAGTCTAGACAAAAGAAAATTGATGTCTATCATAAACTGCTGCCCAGGAGGAAGATAATCAATACAATGGCAAATAAGGCAGCTTATTTAATTTGTAAGGAAGAAGGGTAATCCACAGTGGAATGATAAACCGTATGAAAGTACCATGTTTTCCCTTTATGGTCAGTGGGAGGAGCCTAGTAGAAAATGGGAAGCAAAGTCTTTGCCCCTAGGAGCATCTTTGCACAGGTACTGTCTCAACTGTGTCAGAGGTAGACATTAGGTGTCTTTGGGTTTTTCTCTACTTGTCTTCCCCTTAATGTTTGAGATAGGCTCTCTCACTGAACCCAGATCTCACCGATTGGCTAGACTAGCCAGTGAGGCCCAGGGATCCTCCAAGATCTCCTTTCTCTCAGAGCTCTGGGATTATAGTCACATACCACTACACCCTGCTTTTTATGTGGGTGCTGGGGTCCAAACTCAGATCTTCATGTGTATGCAGCAAGCACTTTACCCACTGAACCATCTTACCAGCCCTTATTTCCTAGTTGTATGTTCTTCAAGGAGAGTTCTATGCTCTGTCTAGAAGAAGTGAGAGCCCAATTACAAGTATGTGTAATATGTAGCACTCAGACCTTGATATCTAAATTCTCCATTTAGAAAAATTGGGGTTAAAAAATGCTAAAGCAGTCCTTTTAGAAAAAATTCCTGAACTGGGACAAGGAAAGCACAAATGTGCCAAAAATATCTGGCTCTGCCAAGAAGTAAGAGAGTACTCAAAAGTCTAATGGACAACCAGATTCTGGGACAAGTTGCACACTGTAGTAATGAATTATAGCTGCAGACTAGCCACCAGTCTATAAAGACTAAAAGCAATGAGTGAGTAAATGGGAAGGGAAGAATATTCTCGCAGTAGAATGCCCACTATGTGAAATGAATGCTGGGTTTAGAAAATCACCAGCTGGCAACTGCCATGGCAGCTAATTGTTTGGAGTGAGAATGATCAATGAATGGTAAAACCACTAGGTGGATGTTCGATGAGAAACAGGGCAGTTGTCACTGCATGGTGTTGGTGTAGGAAAGATACTCCCCAAAGAGAGAAAAATTGTCATTTTACAGGAGGAAAATCTGGCGCATACCACTTGCACTAAGAGATCAAAGTTAACATCACCAACAAAGGTACGCTACCCATAGAGAGCTCACACTTGTATGGTTCCTACTGAAAATGTGTAACCTGGACCTATCAGCAGAACATCAGACAAATCCAAATTGAGAGACTCATAGAAAATGGCCTATATTCTTCAAAAACGATAAGGTCCTGAGAAACAAAGACCCAGGAACTGTTCTTGAGTAAAGGAGACAACCGAGGCTCAAGATTGGACCCTGAACCAGGATAATAAATACAGGGATTTTTCTCTATAAAGTATAGTTTGACATAACAGGAAAAAGTAGTAAAGGCTGTAATTTAGTAACATCTTCATTTCTTGATTTGGGCTATTTTGCCAGGGTTATGAGAAATAATTTCCTTGTGTGTAACAATACACACAGGTATTTAGGTATAAAGGGCACCACAGCAGCGGCTTAATGGTTCAGAGAAAAAAAAATGTGTGCATGTGTGTGTTTGCATATTCAAGAATACAGAGAAACAGGAGACTGGCAAAATATGGTTTAATAATTAAAGCTTGATCACCCTAGTTTGATTTCAATGCATGTCATATGCATGTGTTGGAATAGCCCACCATACTCCATTAACATGTACAGTTAATTAATAAAAAAGACACAAACCATCCTTTTCTGAATGGTTTTGGTGTGGTATTTATTTATTATCTAGTGCCTTCGATTGTGCTGAGTAAGAAAGTCACTGGGACATAGTGTTAGTCACTAATCATTAAAGTCTTCACTTTAAAGAATACAGTAAATTGTTAACTTCTTAGGAATCTAGGGAAAGGATTATATTGAAATCTATTTTACTTTTTTAAAAAGTAAAATTTTCCTAAAAATCTGAGTTGTATCAAAATAATAAAAAAATTTTAATGGTAGTTCTAAAAGATAATAACCTTTTCATAGAACTCAGCAGCCTCTCCATCACTCAAATAATCAGTTTATTAAAGCAGTATGACCTCCCCTATAAAATCTGTAGATCACGGAATAAAATTTGAAGTTATAATTTTATTCACTGACCAAATAGAAAAGTTTTTTTACAACATATATTTTTATTGAGTTTTTGTTTGCTTCATACATCTTAATCATTTATGCCCTCTCCTTTATCTACACCTACTCCATAGCCCCCCACTGGATTTCATGCATTTTGTCATATATGTTAAGGACTACCAAGTCAAATTTCTGTCCCCAGATGCAAGTTTATTCCCTGGAACCTGGTCAACCTATCTAGCATCACTCCGTTAAAGATGACCAACTCTCCCTTACCAGCGGTGATCAGCTGCCAATAGTTTCACAGCTAAGGTTAGGGTTTCTTACCCATTTCCCAAGTTCTATGCTGGGTTTTTGTCCAGTTTGAGTTTGCATAGGTCTTGCACATGCTGTCACCACTACTGTAACTTCATATGACAAAGTTCCCATTCTCCTGGAAGCTCTGTTTCTTTGTGGTCATCTACCACCTTAGAATCTTTCCACACACAGCCCCCAACTTCCACAATGGTCCCTGAGACCTAGGTGGCAGAAATTTAATGTAGGATTCATCCCACAATCTGCAGTCTCTTATTCACCACATTTTGGCAAGTTGTGGCTTTCTGTATTAACATTTGTGCCATGAAGAAGTTTTGCTGGTGAGAGTTGAGAGATTAGTATTATGTCTACCTCCTGTTCTGCTGTGTTCCATGAGCCTTGAATATAGAGGTTGCATTATAGATGTGTCACTTAGGGCTGGGCATCTCACAGATACTCTCTGTGTTTGACCAGTTGTAGAACTAACTCTGTAATAGCCGCTATCTGTTTCAAAAAGAAGTTTCTTTGATGGGTGTGAGTGGTACATTTGTCTGTAAATATAAGGATACGTATTTAGCATACAATAAGAAATTACATTTGTCTAGGAATGTGACACACATGGGTTTTACTCTAGGATCAATAACCTCTCCAGCTATGTGTATTTGGCTATTTTTACAGCACTGTACATGGGTTCCTTCCTATCTAGTGGCTTTTAAATCCACTTAAATGACAGCTGTTGATTATTCCAAAAATAAAAGTGCCACTACTGCACCAATAGAGATAGTTTGCTGTGCTGGTCATTGTTGTGGTTTTTGTTTTGTTTTGTTTTGTTTTGTTGTTGTGGTTACTAGGGGTTGGACCAGTGATTGACTGATTATCTGGGGTTGGACCATTGACGATTTTCTCCTTTAGCAGTTTGCATAGTATTCTCAGATACTATGAGAGGTAGTCTTCAGGGAAGAGGTTTCCAGGTCTGTTTCAGTTCCATTGCTCCAAAACCTGTGTCTATTTTCAGCAATAGAACTTGAAAAAAAAATTTTTTTTGATCAATATAAGCAAGTTTTTTTTTTCTATTGCCATCTTCCTTGAATTTGCAAGCAGTGAACTTAGTTCCATTATTTTGATTTGTTTTGGTCACAGTCCCTCTTCTTATGAGAACACATTAAGAATGCAACCATATTACTCCTACAACCCACTGACAAATTATACATAGCAGATCAAGAAATATATATCTAGGTAAGGTTTATCTGAGAACAGTTG